TCTCGAGCGGCGTGCCTCTGGGCTCTTGTCTCTCACCAACCCTTTACATGCTCTACACAGCTGACCTGCCACTCCCAATCGTCGGCAGCGAGTACATCATGTATGCCGACGATGTAACACAGATCGTCACCTGCCCAGGAAGGTCCACTGTTTGAGCAATAGAGGATATCTCGGAGTATGAAAATAAATGGAAAATAAAAACAAACAAAACCAAATTCGTGGTCATACCCAAAGCGAAATTCAAGCCGGCGCCATTGATGATCGACGACGAAGAGATTGAGTACTCTAAACAAGGCAGGTTGCTCGGCCTCATCATCTCTCGGACAGGCATCATTTCCCACGTGAAGGACAGACTAAAGAAAGCCAAAGTCGCTGCAGCCAAATTAAAACGTTTTAAACTGGTGCCTGAGAAGATACAAGTTCACCCGTACAAGGCGCTGGTGAGGCCTGTGTTGGAGCCCCCACATATACCACTCATCACACTCGGGAAGACCAGACTACAACAACTACAGAGCTTCCAAAACAAGTGTTTGAGGCCAGCCAGTGGCCAAGCACCACCCTACCAGGAGACAGTGGAAACCATCCACCTGAGAAATAAAACAGAGGCCCTCAACGTCAGGTTCCATCGCCTAGGGAAGAAGGTTTGGGACAAGCTCCTGGACGACCCTCACAGCCCAGACCACATACGTGGGGAAGACATCAACGGAAGGCGACCCCAAACCTGGTGGCCCCGGAGTCTGCCCGCACTACAACAACCCAACCCGTGACCCATCTATATCCGCCACAGTGATCCACCTTAGATTAAAACTTAGATGATATAAATTCGCATTTAACAAGTCACAATCTAGTGAGTCCATAACGTAATACAGCATAAGATTTTAATAAACATGTAATTGTAAAATCAATCTAGTCATTGTGTACCAAAGTAACCATTGTGCAACCTATTCCTAATTCCTAGGTTAGCTTAGTTAGCCAACAAACTCTGTAATATGTAAAATAAGGGGTGTCGTCCCCCTCTGTTTAACTCATTAAACTTCTTTCCCAACCTTTCCCCCCACGACTATATGTAGTGACTTCTCTATCCCTCATGTCTGGCTGTGACTTGAGCCCCAGCATGCCTTTCATCCTTTCCCCACCTTAAAAAAAACAAAAAAACAAAAAAAACAAACACCACACCACAGGGTCCCCGGTTTCTTCGTTTACTAACACTGGATAAACCGCCCAAACGGCTAGTAAGCTGATAAGTGGCGAATATGGTAAGAAACACTAGCTGTAGTGTACTGACCTGCTTGTATGAGATACCGAGCGTCACTAAGGACGATGAGCAGCGTCTCGCCCTGAGTAGGCCTAATGGTGCCAATGCTTAAATTTCACCGTATGTTTATTCTGGTCCCCACACGTACACATTTTTATATATTGTGACTTTATATGGGCTAACGATGTGTATTAAGTTCACACCGAGGTACATAATATATTTTCCCAGATGACAGTTCTCATATATTTTCATATGATATCTGAGGTAGCTAGGTTTACTAATAGCACACAGACGTAAATACGATAATCTTCAGACACGATTACATATTCACTATAGTACACTAGTCCATATCAATTGGGCCTTCCAAATCAGCATATAGGTACCTTGAATTCTTCCTTAATACTATCAGTATACATACTTAAGATTATATGCCCGGATACTTGTGTAATTCTTATAAAACAACATACAGCATATGAATTACCCTGTAGCGTACGGTATGTGGCAAGTTGTCAAATTCTCTTTATATGGGCTCACAACGTACGTACATGTAATATATCAAACACTCAGGATTGAGGTAGAATAGAAACTCGCAATGCGTTTTCTGTATATATATTGTTGTACAGTACAGTGCTAAGGAGTTACTAGGTGAGGAGAAGCTTGCTCAGAGTTCCTGTTGGGCGAGGAGCTTTCTGGGGGAGCTGGTTGGTGAGGAGCTGTTAAGAGGTCTTGCTGGTCCAGTCGCTGAGTGTAGTATGACCTCCCCGGCCAGCCTGTCCCATATTTATGTGATTCTGCAGCATCAGGAATCGACGCACGCATAGCACGAGAGCCAATCACGGGGGAGAATGCGAAAGGTGTGAAACTCTCTGATCCTGAGCTTGAGGTGGAAGGTCAAGACTAGGTTGGCGATTGTACCTCTACGTCCGCACCATAGACCTAGTCTCTCGGCGTAGCTGGCTGTAAGCTGATTGGCTGGTAAGCACGCGGCAGGAGCTCAGTTGGTAGTTGTAGGGGAGAGGATCCGCTACAATACTCCCCCTCTCCTCCGGGTGCGGCGGGAGACTGGATGTGGCAGGGTTGCATCCCACAAGTGATACATACCGGGCAGGTGTACGTACGACTCGGCCGCTGCACGTACGACTCGGCCGCTGCGGGTGACAACTCCGTCTAGTGACACAGAACCTGTGAGAGAATCGGGGGGAGAAGGAGGGTTTTGGATTAGAGGAGGTTGTACAGGCAATGGTTGTTGTGCTTCTGTCGCGGCAAGGGCAGCGTCCTCAGGGTCACTGGCTGGGTTGACTGGGTCAGGGGCAGGGGCCACGTCAGGTGGAGGGTCCACGACGGCAGCAGGTTCCACGACAGGAGCAGGTTCTATTACAGCAGCAGGGTCCACGACAGCAGCAGGGTGCAGGACAGGAGCAGGGGGTACATGAGGGTGAAAAGAGGGTGCCCAGAAATGTCGTGGGCGGGGTGTTGCTGCAGGTGGTAACTGCGGGTAGACTGGTGCAGGCGTAGTTTGTTGGAGGTGCTGCTGGGCCGGGTGCCCAACGGGTAAAGTGGCCGGCTTGACTCGGTATATGCTGACGGTGTCGTGTCTGCCATTCCGGATAATAGTCAGGAACTTCGCTGAACGGATAACAACCTGGAAGGGTCCATCATAGGGGCGTTGCAGTGGGTTACGGTGAGCATCATGTCTGACGAAAACATACTCGGCAGTGAGTAGTGCAGGAGGGATGTGTTCAGGGCGCCGAGAAGGCTGGCGTGGAGCAGTAGTTCATAATGCAGAAACTACTTGTCGTAGCTTTTGGAGTAAGGTGTGACGAACGGCAGGAGTGGATTGGTGGTGGTCAGGAGGGAGTGAGAAATCTCCGGGTAGGCAAAGGGGCTCGCCTAGGGTGAGATCTGCTGGGTTACAGTCCATGTCCTTGTGTGAAGCACAGATGCCGAGGAGCACTAAGGGTAGGCCATCTGTCCAGCTGTAAGGGTCGTGCTGTGCCTCGAGTGCATCTTTCAGCTGCCGGTGAAACCGCTCTACCATGCCGTTGGATTGAGGGTGGTACGCGGTAGTGCGTTGCCTAGAAGTGCCGAGGAACTGTAGGAGGCTGTGCCAGAGTTGTGACTCAAACTGGGCTCCTCGGTCAGTGATGATGACAGGGGGGCGAAGTGAGAAGCCCAACCGGACATGAAGGCGCGGACGGCAGACTCTGCTGTAGCATTGGGCATGGGGATGGCTTCTGTCCACCTGGTGAAACTGTCGATGCAGGTGAAGATGTAGGTGCTACCGCAGGATGATGGAAGAGGTCCCATGATGTCGAGGTGCACTACTTGAAAACGTCCATTGGGTATAGGGAAGGTTTCTAAGGGGGCTCGAGTGTGACGATGTATTTTGGAGGACTGGCAGGCCAGGCACTGGGCAGCCCATTTCTTAGTATCGGTCTTGATGCCAGGCCAGACGACACGTTGCGTGAGGAGGCGCTGGGAGGCCCTCACACCCGGGTGGCTGAGACCATGGATGCGGTCGAAAACAGCGCAGCGGTGGACGAGAGGCACGAACGGTCTAGGCTGCCCACAGGATGCGTCGCTCCACAACTTGATGTTCGTGTCAGGAACAGGGAGTTCTTGGAGTGTGAGGCCTGAGGGAGATGTCTTGTATGCTGCCAGGTCTTCGTCATTCCCTTGAGCCGCAGCGAGCTGGCTGTAATCAATGGGTGGAGATGAGGGAAGAATGCTGGATATACAACGAGAAAGGGCGTCGGCGATCTCGTTGTGGCTGCCTTTAATGTGTTGGACGTCGCTGGAGAACTCCGAGATGTAAACCAAGTGGCGAAGGACACGAGGTGTAAGTGACTGGGAGGCTGAAGCAAAGGCGTGGATAAGGGGCTTGTGATCAGTGAAGATGGTGAACTGACAGGCCTCGAGGAAGTGCTGGAAATGCTTGACAGCCAGGTATACGGCCAGGAGTTCTCGATCGAAGGCGCTGTACTTGAGGTGTGGTGGTTGAAGCCTTTGTGAGAAGAAGGCAATGGGCATGAGAATTCCGTTGATCTCCTGCTGTATGCTGTAAGACGGCGCCCACTGCAGTAGAAGAAGCGTCTGTTGTGAGAGTGGTCCGGGTGTTAGGTGCGGGGTGGGCCAGGAGGGTAAGGCGTATGATGTGCTGTTTGATAGCGGTGAATGCCGTAACAGCCTCTTGAGTCCACACGAGAGGCTTGTGAGACGTCTTCGGGAGTCCCTTGAGAAGGTCGTAGAGGGGGGACTAGGACGGTGGCAGCGTTGGCAATGAAGCGGTGGTAGTAGTTGACTAAACCCAGAAATTCTCGGAGTTTCTTCGCCGTTTCAGGTTTGGGGAACTCCCTAATGGCAGTTATCTTCTGTGGTAGGGGTTGGATGCCACTCGGCGAGACTCTGTGACCGAGGAAGTCGATGGAGGAGGCTCTGAAGACGCACTTAGCAGGATGAATTTTCATGTTGTTGTTCTGCAGGCATTGGAGAAGGAGTTGTAGATGGTGGTGATGCTCGGCAGGCGTCGACGATGCGACGAGGATGTCGTCTATGTAGACGGTGACAAAATCGAGGTCGCGAAGCATATGGTCCATGTACATCTGGAAATTCTGGGCTGCATTGCATAGGCCAAAACTCATGAAAGTATACTCGAAGAGTCCGAACGGAGTGTGATGGCTGTCTTCTGGGTATCTGCAGGTGCTACTGGGATCTGGTGGAAGGCACGCTCCAAGGCGATCTTCGAGAAGCTTGCCCTTCCAGAAGAAGGCATAGCCAGACCACCATTTTGTGAGTCGACCCTCGTCTGGGAGCCGGGACTAATGGCGATGTTATACCGAGCCAGCTTTCTTGCCACAAGGGCGGTTCTTCTTTCAGGATGCTCATCTGTGCCAGTATTTAGAAGAGTCTTGACATCACATACACACACACACGATATTTTTCCTGGCTCTTTAATCTCAATTTATTATTCTCCACATTTCTAGACCTACAATATTTAAACGCTTGAAGAATATAAACAATTACTAAACTTAATTACAAGTATTGCATTACGATATTTGCCTCCATATCATAAACTTTGCTGTTCACCTGGGTAATAAATACACAATTCATTACATTAGTTTTGTACATCTGAGTGAAGTCAACGCGTCCATAGAGATATATTTTAATGATTCTATTTACCTTCACTGTTGATATATTGTTCACATAGTTTAAGTTCTTTATAATGATAAAAATTTTATTTTTCATTACTCTTGTTTCTTTTATGTCAATGCTTTTCTCTAAGGTGAACTTCACAAATATTTCCCCTCTCGTTGTACACAACAAAAGTCAAGTGTTCAGTGCCAAGCTTAAGTCGTTTTGTTACTCATTTGCCTTAGTTCAGTAGTTACTGTCTAGTGTAAGAATAAACTCTGCATACATATACTATAGACTTTACCTGTTGAAGCAAATTAATATAATCACACAAGTGTCACAAGCCAGGTTGTCTGTGTCTGGGGTCAGTAAAGTTTTATTTCTCGTCAGGTGATTCTTTTCAAACAATTAGAAATAACACTGACGTATAATCTATATTCTATACCGAGGTCCTATTGTTACCCATTGTTTACATCAACTTTTCTCTGCTAAATATAATGAACCGCATATACTTTTCTATTCACTTTATCTTTACAACACACGCTCGTTCTCTACATCACTGGCGGTTTCTTCTTCTATAACCTGGGTGATCAGGTAACCCAGAGTTCCTGTACTGACGAAGGACATCCTCCTGGGCTGCAGGTCCCTTACGAATCCTTCATTGGGGTAAGATAAGTGGGCCATTGTGGCTCTCTCACTTCCATCTCCCCTCTCAAAACCTTCGGAGGACTTCCTTTCTTTTTCTATCTTGATCATTGTATCAAAGGACTTCTCAGAACCTAAAGAACGACTCCTTTTCTTGCTTCTCGTGCCCAAAGGGGACGCGGTGTCATCAGAGGAGTGTCTCCCCTTTGGAATCTTGCACTTTGAATCTGAGGGGCCGTCAGAACCTACAGAGCGAGACCTACATCTAAATTTGGTCCTACGACTGACAGAGGGTTCCGGGCCTTCAGTCGACCACTCTCTCTTATATCTCTTGGCCTCTGAATCCAGAGCGATGGAGGCAGCCACGGCTGATGACGACAGTACTGCCCCTGGTGTCCCGCCCTGCTCACTCCTCGTCCACCGTCTGCAACAAGTCAGTGTTTTATATGAATCTAGTAAATCGCGATGACAGACACAACCTTTCCCCCTAAAAATGTTATGTAATGTTTTCCTTTCACTCCAGTTGACATTTCACACAAATTTAATACAATAAATCTCGTTCTTTATGGAGAAAGGCGGAGAAAGTGTCATTTTATCAGAATTTCCAGACGCCAGGAAACGGTTAAATCTTATCTCTACACGGCAGTGTTGCTGAACCGCCTTCCAAATCTAATAACAGTAACTGACTTTTAACGGGAATTCAAGGGTATTCAGTAATCACCCACACAAATATAGTAGTGTATGTGCAAATATGTGAAAATTTAGTAAACATTCAACAGGAGCTTATTAATATTATATAACATGGTGTAATCAAGATGATATTTCATGTTGTTTAATTTTTTACACGAGATAAAAGCACAGTGTCTATCAAGTGCCTTCAAGAGACTGCCGGCACCCGAAACATTTAGCCATGTTTAAGGCTAAATAAACTGTTTCAATTTCAGAGTGTAAGGAAACACTTGAACAGCATCAGATAGGAAACACACCTGGGGAGCTTGGAAATGTCGTTGCCGCAAGCATTGGAGGTGGTGGTGGATCTGTAGGACCACAAGTACCGCCTCATGCCGTGTCCGGGAGTCAACACCAGAGACGACTGTAGGAAGAAAGACTTTTAATATTCAGGACCCAAACTTGGCATCAGATCCAAATAAAGTGTTATTTCCAGAATCAAATATAATTTATCCTAATTTAACCAAACGTAATTTATCCTAACTTAACCTAATCTAATTCAACATAACTTAAATTAACCTAATTCATCCAAACTTTAGAGAACGCAATTTAAGTTAACTTAAGCTAACTTAGTTATCTTAACTTAATTTAACCCAATCTAAACTGACTTGACCTAACTTTACCTAATGTAATCTTACCCGACTTAACCAAACTTAGCCTTCCATGGAATAACCACATCCTAACTTAAACTAACCATACCCTAACTTAACCTAGCCTAGCCTGACCTAACCAAATCTACGTTTCCATAACAAAACCTGAAGTAAAATAACATATTTTAACCTAAACTAACATAACCATAAACTTCAATCACAATTCCAATACGCGGCCAGATGCACAAATAGAAAATGTTTCAACAAAATACAAAAGAAACGGAGACGAAGACTTGACAAACAGCTCCCAAGACTCCCACCAGCTGTCTGATATGTAAGGGAGAACAAAAACATAAAAAACAATAAGAAAGATAAACTAAGCCGTAAGACCTGAAAGATATTAATTTCAGGAAGGTTTAACAATATTCCTCGAATTAATTGTTCTCGAAGAAACGTTCTGTGTAATTGTAATCCTCTCTTGCTGTGTGAGCGTATGGGAGATGAACGGTACAGCACTCGCATAATATTCTACTTGCATAAACTTCTTGGTTATATAGTTTAATAATAATTGTATGTATTTCGTGTTGTATTAAACCAAAAGAAGAATTCCATCTTTTCTGATCATATGGGCGTAAATAAATTTTTATTATTATTTCGCTTTAATTCCTATGATATTATTATTTCGCTTTAATTCCTATGATCAACACTTTGAGAACCTTGAAGAATTTTGGCAACTGATATTTCTTAGTTTGTGTCAATCATGGGTCGTCTTTATCACTTAACGTAGCCAAGAAATATGTGAGGTTATGATTGTTATTTGACGGTAATAATAATCTCAAGAAAAATTTTAAACTGCAAACTCAACACACTTTAAAATTATATATCAAAAAGGCTTTTAACACATCTGACGACTTTTTTAATATACGAAAGCTGTAAATCGAGGTGTTTGAACATGAGTAATTAACCTGACCACTATACTTCAATAACAAATTACAGAGATCATATTCAAGGTGGTAGACCTAGGTGTTGTATAGACTATGAAGGCAGGTGAGGTGCAGGAGACGATGGCTTGACTTTCGTTCCTAGTTGTGATGTTGATATTATTTTGTGACGGAATAATATAGGCCTACAGATGAAGAACAAAAAGACTCAGGTGTTGTCGAGGATGATAGAGGAGAAGGGAGAGTTTACCTCGTTCTTGTAGAAACAGGGAAAGGTGACTCTGAAGGCTCTCCTGAAGGTCTGGTGCATAAGGGCGTACACAATGGGGTTGACGGCGGGGTTGATGTAGACCATATACTGCGCCACCGTCAGGAGAATGTTATACGTCTGTCAGGAGGAGAGAGAGAGAGAACGTATTATTGGATGGACATATGATTGAGTGGACAGACATATGAGTGAATGGAAGAATTATTGGACGGACGGACAGTTTGTGGGCCATAAAGCAGATATAACAGTCCCTCGATATCAAGAATGGCCTGACCTAGGGCCACCTAGACGTGAATTTGTTTAAGGTGTAGAAGCTGTTGCCAACACAACAACCACACCTTAAGTTAGCGAGTTGCATGACCCAGTGTCATGGAATAGTCCGAGAAGACCGGACAACTCGCCAACTGCACTGCTAACCATTACCCCGGAACACGATCCGCAAATCCATTGACATCCAAGTTCCCAGTTCCTTCTGGGTAGACAGAGGCAAATGACGTAAAGAAACTTGCCCCTAGTTTCACCCTGCCCGGGGATCGACCCCGGGTCCGCTCGCTTGCGAGGCGAGCACGCTGACCCGGGCATTTTATAACCTTATTGTGAAGGTGGTGGTGAAACAAATGTCTTTTGCCCGTATTATTAAACAAAATCTTCCCTTGAAGAGGGTCGTCGTGTTTCAACCCAAGTTTTAAACTAAATGAGTCCTGAGGGACACTGCAGTACTGTACTTAACGGGGTGGTGTGGCGGTAAGATTTGGTTCCTCTATGTTGCTTTATCTTTTTGATTTGAAGTTAAAGATTATATTTAATTATGCTCTTTTTTTAATGCAGAAGTGAAGATTATGACCCATTTTACTGTTTTTGCTCATGTGTTAGTAAAAAGTCGTATTAGTAAATTCTGTTGAAACTAGAAAAAAATCTCTGTTGAAACACTAGCCCCAAAAATAGGTGTCTATGTTGAAATTGGCAAACAAAAAAGTGTCCTTGTTTAAACTCAGGCACAAAAAAGGACTAGAAGAATTTGTCATAATATTGCAGCATATATATCCCAGACGAGAGAGACTTTAGGATACTTTATATAAACATAAGTTGAAACCTTACGTATAAAAGTCAGTTTTCACCCAGGAGGAGTGTTCCTATTGGTTATTTTACGTTTATACAATTCTCTTGCACTTCTTTACTATTTCCTTCATTTATTGACGTTTTAAGTGTCTTGATTCACGTGTGAGAGGAGAAAGGGAAAAAAAGAAGAATATATTTTGATAATACTTTATTTAAGAATTGTGATCCCTTAAGAAATCTATCAAGCCATGGAGATGTGGGAGTTGTGTATTTAATTTCGACAATAATTGGGGTTATTATTAAGGCATCGTCGCTGACACACACACACACACACGACAGTATCACCTACAGGGGATAAACTCAACGTGTAAAAGATCACAATATATTATTAACCGATCAATAGAATTTACTTGTATGCAATTTCGACTTAGTATTTAGCGTAGGGTTGCCATATCTGAACATTCAAAAAAGAGGACGCTCCCAAGACACCCCCCCCCACCCCCCCGCCCGGCACACACAGGCTAATATACAACATACATGGTATAGAAATCTTAAAAAAAAAAATTACCTTTGCTTAAGGCTGAACATCTTCATTCCCTCAGCTGCAGTCTTCTTCCCCCACTGTGTGTGTGACTTGGTGTTCCCATGCATACTTTTCTGTAGATCGGATCTTTTTCCGTATTGTCTGATTGCTCTTTAGAAAGGTATAGAAGTCACTGCAAGGTGTTTCTCGAAGTTGTACTGTACAGTCAGACTGCCTTTCATTGTTTCAACACTCAATTTGTTCCTTTCCTTTGTCCATTGACTTTGCATCAGTGAAAAAACTCTTTCTACATTTGCATTGTGAGATGATACTGTATAGCAAAGAAGAATTGTGCAATTCTGAGTGGCATTCAATGTTCTTTGATTTTTCAAAGTATCTGGTCCACTTTTTATGTGTTGGCAGATTACTAAATTCTTCATAACTCTTGTAATTTTCCACAAACTGCATCAGGTTACAAACTTGGTCAAAACACTTCATCAACTTCTACCCCCTTATCAATCAAATATTTGACAGCTGAGTTGACAACACCGTACAGGCGTACAAGTGACTTATCAGCTGATGAAAACTGAACGAGATCTCTACGGTTTCCACCTCCCCTCTCTCTCTCTCTCTCTCTCCCGTCATTACAGTTTCATGTTTTTTCCGTGGAGAAAATGATGGAAACTGAAATTACGGACTTTTGAAGAATTTTAAAAATTCCTTCCGGATGAAGATTTCGAGACCTAAATGGAGGACATGTCCGGGAAAATATGGACGTATGGCAACCCTAATTTAGCGTGAATGTGTATTTGATGATCTTGAATTTAACTTCTCATTTTAATTGTTTTATTTGAGAAACTTACAAAGATGTCCTACTTTTTCTACACCAGAACCGTTTTTATTTTAACTCCTTGAGTACGGTGTTTTAACCCCTTGAGTACGATGTTTCAGCCCCTTGAGTACGTTATTTTAATCCCTTGAGTACGATATTTTAGCTCTTTGAGTACGATATTTTATCTAATTGAATAAGATATTTTAACCCCCTGAATACTATGTCATAACCCACTGAGTACGATATTTTAGTCCCATAAGTTGGATGCTGACATAGTACTCAAAGGGTTAATAATAAGCTACGTTCTCGACAACACACCTCCGGCACACTCTTTGTCTCAGCTGTCAACACTAGTGGGCGCAAACAGGTGACTCACTAACTAATACAGTGTATACAAGAGGCCATTAGTGGCGTACTGAAAGTGTTTTTATAAATGAAGCTCGCGTAAATTCTGGACGTATTATATTGCGAAGTACTTTTACCTGGCCCTCCTCAACAGGTAAAGTAATTTGTTTAAGCGATAATGAACAAGCATAAAGTAAAATATTTAAACCATATAATTATACAGTACATATTCAGTGATTTTTAATAATAATTTTCATTATAAAAAATTACACCTGACCTTACGCGAGCTGTTTACCGCCTCAAGTAAACTACCTGGGACACCGTCGTCTGTATCTTGATATAAAGTTACCATGTGACTGTTACTCACGCGCTCTGTTGCCTCGTCCTTAAACTGGCCGTTGTCGTCCAGAAATTCGTTGTTGGTGATTTTGAGAAGCTGCATGGGCGTCCAGCAGATGGCGAAGATTATCACCACCATAAAAATCATCTTCACTACCCGTTTCTTGAGGTGAGTCATCACCGGGTGTTCTGCGGGAGGTCGACCAATAGTAGTGTCCACCATCAACAAGTTTTATTACAATGGAAAAAATGTAATAATAATAATAATAATAATAATAATAATAATAATAATAATAATAATAATAATAATAATAATATTTTGAGTTTTGTGGCGTTTTTAGGATAAAGTTGGTGATAAACGTCATCCAGACATTGGCACCACCAAGGTCTGGCTGTATGTAATGCAAAATAAACATAATAATTCTGCCTTGTGGAAGACACCTTGATGGACTGACTATACGCACCTTAACTAATTCCCAGATAACATCTACCTACAGCTCGTATTCATTGTGCACTTCCTTAACACTGTTGCCGAGAATTGAGGTTGTATTACACAGTAGGACCGCCACACACTGACCCGGGTAGCATCAGGGTACAGTTTCGGTTGGTCAAGGCGGATGTCACAGCAAATGGAGGAGTTATGACGGATTGGTATTCATAGAGCTGACTGGTGCAGCTGATAACACCATCGATAGAGGTAAAGATGGATATTACCTAACTTAAATATGTGTGAGGTCCAGGTACCTAATTTTCTTCGCATTGGACGCCGTCTTGTGTTTCATCCACGGCAGATTATATTAAAACAAACACCGAGAGAATATTTATAGAATGAATAAAACAACAGAAAGTAATTTTGACGTTTTTATCTAAATGGATCTGAATTATTTATAAAAATATATATATAAGACCAAGTTTGTTGAGACTGAAGAAAGGGGGAAAATAATATAAAGAACAAATAGTGTAAGCGGGAATGGCCGATTTATTTTTCGGACATTTTTCCGCACAAGGCTTTTTATTTACTTAGGTAGTGGTGGACGCTATAGAGACCTACCTAACCTAACCTAAATTAATCTGACTTTTCCTAAGCTAACCCGAAGAAAAAAATCGTAGAAGTACAGATTTCAGTAGGCTATACTGTACAGCAGCAGATCAAGAACTGTTTAATAAATGGGACAGCACTAAATTCAAGTTACAACGCTCTTACAGTAAGAGCACTATGGTTCAGGCTTCGGCTATCATGCTTCATTTCGTAAAAAAAAAATTATATCTTGTGAGAGGTCATGTGAAAATACAACTAAGTACCTCACGTAACTACAACCAAAATGGTGGAAAAGTATGACTGAGACTCTACGGGTGTGTATCTAGACGAGTCTTATCACCATTTCCAGGGGAATTATTTTTTTTAATCTTGGGGAATCTTAACCCAGTTTACTATATAAGTACACCACTCACCTGTACTAGAGGTAACCTTAAACAACTTGTGATGAAAGTAGAGGCACGTGGTTTACAGGGTATACTACTTACCTTTACTGTAGTGAAAATCAAGAACTATAGTTTACCTGTAATGGAAGGAGACTAAAATAGTTTACACGTTTACTACCAACCTTTACTTGAAGCGACCTTGAATTTCCTGTGATGGAAACAGATAATAATAGTAGTATAGCAGACAACCATAACGGAGAGGGGGAGCCAAGTCAAGCCGATCACTCCCACAATCCACCAAGTGTGTATCTTGTCACTCTCCCCACAGATGGTCTGAGTCATGTCCTTCCATATGTGTTTCTGTAAGGGATTATAATGTAAGTCAGGTGTGTGGTGCCACCTATATACCGTACCTTTAATTACTGTTATGGGGAATATACGCCATTGTATATGTTGTTAATAAGAGCTGAAAGGTGACTAAATTATTTAGTTATTGTTATGGATGTCATGTGTGTTGTGCCACCTGTAATTACTGTAAATGAGAAGGTTGGTCAAATTGTTGATGAGAGTTAGTGTGTTCATTATTATTATGGGAGTGTACAGGTGCCCGCGGTGGAGGTGGTCTACTGTCTGCCTTCATCAATATTTTTTTCCTCTACGGTCATTTCTAATCAAACAATTAATGTCTGATTTCTTAGTTGTGTCAGCTAACTCTAGGAATGCAATGTTGCGTTATTAACAGGTGGATATTTTGCTCATCCATCACTAACGCAGCTTAAATTCTTAGCTAAAAATTTTATACATTGAATCATCTTTCATGCGAGTACGTTCAGTAGACACAACTAATTATAGCATCTTGTTACCTTGGAAATGAGATTCACGAGTCTGGCCTGACTTACCCCCTGTTCCTTTATTCTTATGGTTGGTGTCATTAATTAATGAATGTGAAAACGACATGTGGCAACTACAACCCGTCATTAAGCTAGTCATAAATCCCCGTACAAAGACAGAGGATTTACGCCCATAACTTCCCTGCTGTCGTAAGTAACACTGCTCAACGAAGAATGAACGAGTTGACGGTTCTGGGTAAACACAAGAAATACTCTCTGCCACATTCGTAGAGTGATATGGTATATATAATTTGTAATAAAAGTTTTAAGTCCTGCTATAAGAGTCGAGATAAGTTTATTTCTCTAGAAACAGGGCCGCCATTTGAATGACGTCACCACCTTCCCTGCAGACGACGCAGGTATGGGGATACGAGTCAATTGAGAAGTAATGACATTGTCTGGACTTTGTTTTGCAAATGCCTGATGCTAGGTAAACATGATAAAATAGAGTTGTTATTGTTTTGATGATTCACTAATGAACCATTGGGATATATCATCATTTATATTAATTAATGGGTAAAATTTTACTTTAACTACCATAAGTATTTGGATGCTTGGATTCGTCCTGTACTTCGCTGAGGAGGAATTATGAAACTTATTTATATTTTTCATATTATTTTCGATTCTGACAAACAATACAAGTTGTATATATATATATACTGTATATATATATATATATATATATATATATATATATATATATATATATATATATATATATATATATATATATATATATATATATAAACTGGAATTAATCTCATTAGAAATTGTTCACTTTCACGTACTGTATAAACCCTGTAGATGCACCAAGGAACAGCTATGATGGCTGAGGAGATCCAGATGAGGATGATGATGGCGACTGACTGCCACAGCTTGAGGTGGTTGTGGAAGGGCCGGACAACACCTAACATACGGTCGAAGCTGATGGTGGCTAGTGACGTCACGCTCACAAGCAACACCAACACTGTCAGGTTGAAGAGCATAACAATAATAATAATGATAACAATAATAATAATAATAATAATAATAATAATAATAATGATAATAATGATAATAATAATAATAACAGTAATAATAATAATAGTAGTTGTAATTTCGCTCTAACACAAATGTCCTAAACTTATATGAATGATAAAAATATTTAGGATTTCAGTTTTAATAGATTTCTCTTTGTTGATTTTTTCATGAGTGGCAATAATTGTAAGATCTCTTGGATGTGGAATTCTTTTTTAAATCCTTAATTGAAAGTCCAATATTTTTAGTCAATTGTTGCAAAATTTCAATAAGCAGTGAGAAAATTTTGTTGAACTGAGGAAACATCTCCATGCTAGAGTTATCGTTTACATACATACATACAGGTCGTAGTAGTGTCCAGAAGTGCGTGTCTCTGCCATATATATATATATATATATATATATATATATATATATATATATATACAATCAACACCTTAACCCGCCAGGATTCGAACCCACGGCCCATGACTGTGACCGGGGAACGCTAACCGCTGGACCACCAGGATACTAAAAGCAGTCCTAGACTTTGTTATATTTCACACAACGCCTGTTCAACGAGCTTATGGCGCCGTGAACCTCTAATGGGGACTACCCGTATCACGTAGGTGGTCAGAGTAACGTTTTGCCAAATCCGGCTTCGAATCCTGGCGGGTTGAGGTGTTGATTGTATGTAAGAAGTCCGCGTGCTTTACTGGGCTAATGAAATAATATATATATATATATATATATATATATATATATATATATATATATATATATATATATATATATATATATATATATGCAAGTAAATCATTGTAGGTGCGCGTGATCCAGGTATATGCTGATAAACACAAGGAAAAAGAAAACAAGAAGTTCCCAAGCGCTTTCGTGTGATTCACATCTTCAGGGGTGAGTACAAACTAAGTAGAAGTGCAGAACAAGTTATATATATATATATACAGAGGAGGGTGAGATCAAGTCCACAGAGGTCAAGTATAGGTAATGACCCTACTAATCTTCACAAAAGCACCTCAGTGGTCGGTAGTCAGGTCAGAGGGAAAACTGACCCAACCTTCTCACCTGGTTACAAATCTTCTTAATTACAAAATTGTCCAATTTTACATACCATTACTCAAATTCATGTTAACGGATTCGGTATGTTTAATGAGACTAGATTCTATAATGTTCCTATAATTGACAGTAGGAACATTATAGAATCTAGTCTCATAATGTTCCTACAATTGACAGTAGGAACATTATAGAATCTAGTCTCATAATGCTCCTACAATTGACAGTAGTAACATTATAGAATCTAGTCTCATAATGTTCCTACAATTGACAGTAGGAACATTATAGAATCTAGTCTCATAATGTTCCTACAATTGACAGTAGGAACATTATAGAATCTAGTCTCATAATGTTCCTACAATTGACAGTAGGAACATTATAGAATCTAGTCTCATTAAACATACCTAATCCAGCCAGCCAGCCTTCGTTGTGAACGGACCTCTCTTCTGACCCTTCACTGCTAAGCAGCCAGCCTTCTTTCTACTGTTGACGACCGGACTACAACTCGACCTCTCTGTCTACCACTGGCCTTCCCAGAAATCTTTTTTGGGGCAACGCCCCTTGGGGGCCTCCGCCTTTGGAAACGACCACGACTGCCACCGGACTACCTCACGAGCGTTCAGGACTGTCAACCCTAGTTAGCCCTCCCCACGGGTAGAGTGAGTGACCCACACTCCTGCTGGAGGGCAGCTATTGATTGGCGGTACTGACGTGGTTTGAGGTCTTTCTCTCTTGCTGAAATCATTCCTTACTTACCCTGGCCGAGGCACCTGCTTATATTTAAGTATTCGTGCTAGAGCCCCTCCAGTGAAGCTCACCTCACAGTAGGTGGGATTGTGTGTGTCCTTTGGAGGTCGGGGGAACACAGGCCAATCCGGCAGTGGAAAAACAGTGATAGTGCAGTTACGCCACTGTCCGGGGGTCGCCTATAGGCACACTAAGAAGGGTCTTCAATAACCTTCTTTATGCTAGGAAGATACAAACAGATAAACCCATGGCTACCAAGGTTAGACTCAAGATTATAGACAAGAGAACAGCCCCTTCACGTTCTCAGATAACTGAAACAGCGTATGGTACACTCAATGTACCCTTCACAAGGATTTTCTCGTCGAACGATGGATACACTGCAATATGCAGGGACTACAGGGATGCAGATACCATTCTGAGCCCTGAGGGAATGCAAGCCTTTGGAGACATAGGACTCCAGGTCATTATGCCACCAGAGGTTAAAGCAAAAAGATCAGTATTTGTACGTGGACTTGACTACGAATTTGGAAAGCACGCGGCACAAGAAATAAAAGAAGAACTAGAAATAAAAAACAACTGGTTAAAAATCGAAGAAGTGGTAAAAATAAAGCAATACACTCATTGCCTAAAGCTGAGATTCACTGACACTTCAATGGCAGACAAGGCCCTGGAATCTGGAATCTTAGGGTTCAACATGTCAGTACTCCCTAAACAACTAGAAAGGGAGAAATATGTTAATATTTGTATGTATATTCTGTATGCTGTATTTATATTATGCTATGTATATTATGTATGTGCTCCATTTATGTATTATTTATTTAGCCTAGCTAGTAGCGTGTGGCAATGTATTTATCAATGTCCCACATGCTTAATTAATGTGCCTGGCGACGTATGGAAGCTGCTAATGTATCACTTGCCATACGTCGTCTATAGAGCAGTTGACCAGCGGACAGGTTGAAGAGCGCTACTCCCCTTGTGTACATATCTCTTATCCAGTAAATAGAACCTACAAACATTATACAGGTGTTTGTGTTCGCTCCTGTATATTGAACTTATTACCCAGAACACGAACATGGCGCAGTGAACCGGTTTTACTGGATAATTACGAGTGACAGTGCAAAGTTTGTGGAAAGCCGGCTTATGGACCCCTTGCCCTGTGTCAACCGCCGCCCGCCACCCCTCCTCGAAGAATTTAGCAACTTTGAGCAGTGTCAGTGACAGTGATTTTCTGTGCAGTGTTTAGTGCATTGTGTGTTTCGTGCCATTCATGTGTGACCTTGTTCTAAAGGATTCCCAAGGTACACGGCATGTTCTGGGCATTTGTAAGGAGTAACGTTTGTCACATCCTCCTCTCATCATTCCTTAAGGGTAACTGATGCTCCTAGTCGTCTCCACCCCCCTCACAGCTCGAGGCCCCTCATGGAGAGACGCTCTAGCCCGCCCGGCACACACACACTCACTGACATCGGCGATTGCCTTATATATATTTTATATATATAATCTACTTATCTGTGTATTTATTTAAAATTTTTGTCTGAAATCTTGTTGATACGACGGGCTGACCGGTCAACACTGATTTAAGACACAGTACACAGATGAAGTAGTTATGTCTCATGCCTTACGTAGCCGTGGACCCAGCGCCCGGATGAGTCAGTCGGATGATAGCCCTGCAGAGATGGATGACCAGGCTGACCACGACGCTCCAGCTCCCACAACATTGCGCAGCCCTTCACCTCGATATTCAGCGTTGTCTCCAGAGATAATTGCTTTAATGAAGTTTATGAGAGATGAAAGGCGCGAGGATGAAGCTAACAGATGTGTGGCGGATGAACACAGAAGGCAAGCAGAGGCAGAGAGAGACCACCAACGGAGATTGGAAGACAGTGCACGGTTTGAAGCTTTGATATCGCGCCTCACTGTTAACCAAGCCCCTGGCTCTAACACTGCCTCGGTACTGACTGGTTCAGATACCTCATCAATGCTTCCTTCACGCCCCCCAGCCCCACCTAAAGCAGCTGCTCAAACACCGCCCATCTTGAAGCCTGATGTGACTTTCCAGACTTTTCGTGAATGGCGGCGACGGTGGACTGACTATTCTACAATGGTGGATCTCCAGAGTTTGTCACAGCCTAAACAACTCATCCAGCTGCGTATGTGCCTGTCCTTGGAAATTCAGCGTGTCTTAGAACATACGTTGCAGGTACCTCCGACCTCTTCGCTGTCTGTAGAGGAGGTACTGGACATTCTACAACGGCACATCAAAGGACAGCAGAATGAAGCTCTGTGCAGGAGGGAATTGTTTAGCTGCAGACAGATGGAGGGTGAGACTTTTGACGCCTTTTATGTACGTCTTAAGAGAGCCTCGGAAGAGGTAGATATATGTCTAGGCCACCACCAGCAGTGCGAGGAGACCCAGTTGAAGCAGGTGATCCTGATGGGTGTTAAGGACGAGGAACTTGTCCAACGCCTCACCTCCCTCGACTCTTCCTCTTCTCTCAAGGATGTGTTGACGATATGTCGCTCCTATGAGGCTGCCAGGTGTGCCACCTCTGCCATCCGAGCTCCCCCTACAGCTGTACGCGCTGTGTCCCGGTACAAGAAGGACAAGAAGTCTGCTCCTACGCCTTCGCCCACCACGTCCACGCCCGGTTCATTTTGTAACAACTGTGGTAAGCAGCACGGAACACAGGTGTGTCCAGCTGCTGAGTCTACATGCAACAGTTGTGACCGTAAGGGCCACTGGTCACTCACAGTACGGTGCCCAGCCAAACGCGTCCAGTGCAATGTGTGCGGTCGTCTGGGCCACTATGACAAGTGTTGCCCTTCCAACAAACCCAAGGGACAGCGTCGGCGGAAGCTTCAGCTCCCTTCCACCAGAGAGGGCCGCCCACAGTCTTCCAATCAGAAGCATGACGACCCTGGACAACGCTCGAGCCATATTAGGAATGTGTGCTCCCCCCCGCGTCCCAGGACCAAAGTCCCCCAGTACATCAGTGTCATTGTGACCTACCGCAGTGTGTCATCCCGTCTTCAGATGTTGCCCGACACCGGCGCTGATGCTACAGTCATCGGTCCCCAGCATTTGCAATGCTTGGGGCTCTCTCCAAGTGATCTAGGACCGCCCCCCAAGGATCTCCGCTTTATGGCAGAT